GCTGTATCAGGGAAGCAGAGGAAGAGGCTGGATCAACCCTGAAATGCTGGCTCGGAGGCTCGGAGGGGATCAACATGCCAGAGCGAGTTTTAGAGCCTCTTAATTAATCTCCACCGGAGACAGGCCACTCTGCGGTGCGCACAGGTCCCAGGCGATACTGCCAGTCCCGTCTCTGAGGCTCTCCTTACAAAGTGGCCAGAGAGGACAGCACTGCCTTGATCATTCAGGGTGGCTCAGTCCTGCGTAACCAGCTGGTTCATGGGATGCACACAGCCCGAGTCCTCTGTTACTTCAGGACAGCGGACACTTGGAATGGACTGAGCTCCTGCCCAGTTATGGAAACGGTAACAAAAGCACGGAGAGGCGATCTGCTTTTAGGGCTGGGGACACTAATGCTAACACCCACGCCGATGCTAACACCAACCCCGGCCCCGGCCCCGACACTAACTAATACTAATGGTAACACCATACTAACATTAATAGTAAAAAAGTACTAGCCCTGACTCTAACCTCAACACTTACACTAATTGTAACACTAATACTAACATTAATAGCAAAAAGTGACTGTGACCTGACTGTGACCTCAACACTAGTATTACTTGTAACAGCGATAATAACATACTAATAGCTCAACACTAATATCAATAAAATACTAACTCCATGTCGATATAAGCATTTCTCAGGGGGGCGGGATGTGATTACTGGGTGGTGAATCCTGACCGAAGACAGCCACCTCTACTCATCTCCCGTCTATGTGACAGACGTGTCTGATTTTTCAAGATGCTAGAAGCCTGGCTCCTCACATGAAAGCCCTTGGTGTTCGAACAAGGCCTGTAATTATTTTAAACACAGGTCACACCACATCCTGTGAGACAACTGAAGAGCCCTCTGTGGGACAGACTCAGCTGGGGGCTGTGAGTTCCGGATGTCTGACCTAGACTGCGAGAGCGCCTGGAAGGAAGGGCTGTGCCGTTTGGATCATCTTTGCCCACTTTTGTGTGGCTGCAGTGGCACAGAAGGTGTTCACTGAATAAATGGGTGAGTGAGTGAATGGATGAGTGAACCAACACGGGCACGCTCCAGCTGTTTGTTAAAAACATCCATCAAGCCTGGTGTGCCCACTTGGTTGAGTGGTCAAAACTCAGATGCAGTGATGTCTGGGGATTTCTTTCAGTGTCTTTCCAGGATAGCAGTGGCTGTGTGTCTGAGGCAGTGGCTGAGAGCATGTGGCGGGGTTTGCTGAAGACACACTTAACCTTCTTCAGTTTGGGTGGCACCGGCCAGACTGCCGCCTGCATGTTCTATTTTTCAGGGCAGCAAAGTTCCCATAATTGCCTTAGGCTGCTTCTCAGAAACTTGGTCAAGTTGAAAACCACTCTCTTTCAGCTGCCCTGAAAAACTTTTCAAAAGCTCCTCTGGAAGAGTCTTGAGTGGCTGTGCTCTCATGAAGATAGACAGACTCCAGGCAGCTCGAAGACCTTAGCCAGCAACTCATGGCAAACTGAAGTGGTTTCTTTCCCTCTTGCAGGCAACATGCATCGCTCAGAGTTACCCACCACAACCCACACAGACGCCTGCACCCAGAAAGAGCAAAGCCATGCTCTCCACATGCTCGCACAGTCGGGCTCTTCCCAGGCGAACATAAAACCCATCCCAGAACTCAGTCGCTGATCCATCACATCTCTGGCAAGACATCCCCCTCACAACCAAACAGAAATAATTTTCTTGACAGGCTCCTCACTTGAAATTAATAGTGAAATAAGCAACAAGGCTTTGCATCATCACCACGTCCTCGTCAACAAGGCAGAACTGCAGACTGGGTTAAATGGCTTCAAACCTCACAACGGTTTTGTGGCGTTGCGCATTTTTTTTTCAGTAGCCAGGCGAGAACGCTAAGCCGTGGATCAGACTCTGCGTTCTCCGAACAATGGGCGGGGAGGAAATGAAACTGGCCTCTGAGCTGGGACTGGTAGCTGTTACTGGCAATTACGGCTTCTGCCGAGAAACATGAAGAGATTTTATCCTGGCTGGCTGCGGCTTCCCTCAATACATTTTTGTCAGAACTGGGAACACAAACTCTAAACATGAAAGGAGGTGATTACGATTGCCTGCTAGGCTGAAATACCACCCCAAAACTCAAGGATGGGCCCCAGTTGGTCAATAAAATTACTGAGATCAGTTGTCTTAGAAATGACAATACGTTTCTTTCTCACCAATCCCCGACTAGGGAAACAGGTGGATCTTTCCGGGCCCATGTTATTTCTTGGAGACTTGTGGGAGGTTCTTGTGATGAAGGACTCTCCGATCTGGGCCACCCGGGATTTGGGAGAAGTCAGCAGGGATATCCTGAGGGAAGGATTTAAGAAGGGGGCACAGCGGTGCAACTCTGATGACAGCCCAGGCTTGGTGGCTCTGATGTGCTAAGCTGTGCACACAGGATGCCCGCAGATACTCTCAATGCCATGTCACATCCCATCAGTGGAAACAAGGAGGCTGAAAAGACCACATGCGGTATGATTCCATTGGTGTGAAATGTCCAGAAAAGGCAGATCTCTAGGCAGAAGTTAAGTGCTGGTGGCAGGACTGGAGATGGACTGCAAGGACTCCCAGTGATCTTTTTGAGGGTGATGGAAGTGTTTTTAAAACTGGACTGAAGTGATGGTTACACAACTCTGTCAATACGCCAAAGCCATTGAACTGAACACTCAAAACAGGGGAACTTTATGAAAGGTAAATGACGCGTCTGTAAAGCTCTTCAAAAACAGTGACACTGATGACTGTCATCCAACCACCATGCTCGACGTGAGCTCCCCTCCAAGGGTATCTGAGTCTCCCGAATCAGCTAGCAGTTTCTACCACCAAGCAGACCCGGAGACTCAAAATAGAAATGAACTTTTATTATGAAATATCAGAGGTATCATTTTTCATCCATTCGGTGAGTGCAGACGGTGACGTTTGACAACAGAAAAGGGAGAAAGAACGAGGGAACAGTATTCTAGTGTAAGGCCGATGGGTGGTGAGTCGCCAAAGCCACTTTGGGGAGGAATCTGGCTGTCTTTGGTAAAACAGAAAATATTCATAACCTGGAGTCCAATAACTCTCTGGGATACACCTGCGAGAAACTCTTTTCCCTGTGCTCACGGAGATGCACACAGCCACGTTCACTGAAGTAACGTTTATCCTGGTGAGTAACAGAAAACAACAAAAGCGTCGAAATAAACAAATGTGATTTTTTAAAAAAGGATGATGGAATAACACCATTTGCAGCAACATAGACGGACCTAGAGATGGTCACACTAAGTGAAGTAAGTCAGAAAGAGAAAGACAAATGTCACATGATATCACTTATATGTGGAATCTAAAAAAATGACACAAATGAATTGATTTACAAAACAGAAAGAGACTCCCAGGCATAGAAAAACTCACGGTTACCAAAGGAGAAAAGAGGGGGTAGAGATAAATAAAGAATCTAGGGTTAGCAGACACACACCACTATACATAAAATAGATAAACAACAAGGTCCTACTGTACAGCACAGGGAACTGCATTTAATTTCTTGTAATAACGTATCACGGAAAAGAATCTGAAAAGAAAATAAATATGTGTATGTCTATGTGTAACTGAATCACTGCTGTACTGCAGAAGTTAACACAGCATTGTAAATCAACTATACTTCAATAAAAAATAAGCAAATGTGCAAAAAAGGATATATTTATAGAGAAAATACGATTTAGTGGTTAAAATAACCTGGCGCCTATATGTGCGGCATATTTATGTGTGTATATGTGTCTATACTCAAAAAATAAACTCAGTGATAAATTTGTCTCAGAAAGTATAAAGACAGTCACGCCGCTTGTGCACCTGAAATTGAGATTTAAGATCTGTTTCCACGAGAGACCTATCACATAAACACACTTATTCGGTTTGCAGCTGGATTTATTTATTTCATGTCTCCTAGCTTCTCCGGAGCCCTGAGCAGAGAAATAAGCCCTTAAGAGAAAATCTGACAACAGGCGCCTGGGTTTTCAGCACCAAGGTCAGTGCCGAGCCCACGTTCCACTTTCAGTGTCTCAGCTCTCGCCGTGCATCTCAGCACAGAAAACGCAGTGGGTGCTTATCCACCTTTCCAGGTGGCCTTTTCTAAATTCCTCATTGCCCTGCCTGTAAGCTTTCGGAGGAGCCTTGCCTGTCTGGGAGGTGGGGTCTGCCCATGGCCATCGCTCACCAAGTGTGTGATTTAATTGTGCCCTCGGTGACCTGGGGTCCTTACAAGGGCACCGACCCTTAACTGCGGCACGCGCTTGACCTTTCCAACGAAGACTATAAAACTTAATGAAACACAGCCCTAGGAGGCAATTAGAGTGATGTCCATCAGAAACTTGATCAAACCCGTTTCCGTTTCAGTCCAAATGGCTCCATTAGGCCTATCCTGAGACTGAGGAGAAGCACAGAGAGGGATCTGGGCAGTGAGATGCAGGAAAACCACAGTGACAATGTTTTTGTGGGCCTTTCTTGATGTCGGGGAATGTGTCTGATGTAATCAGAGGTCGTTATGGGTTGGTTGAAGGATTTTTCCAATCAACAAATAGTTCTATTCTTCTGTCTCTGCCAACACTTTTCTTTCTCCCTAAACGACCTAGAATGGAAAGCAGAGCTGGATAGTGGCGTTCAGTCTCGAAAATTCACATCTGCTCTGGCCACACGGAGCTCTACTTGGGTCCATCTCCAGAACCAGAAATCTGCCAAAAGAGCTTTGCTGACCCAACAAATCCCTGCAACGTGGGTCTTGTGCTTAGGGTGAAAGCTTTGCTTCATACGTGGGAACGTTTTGGAGAATCAGGTGCACATAATCCCTGGAAGTCACGGGGGAAGAGAGGAAGAGAACTGGGGAGACATACCCCAGGACCTACATGGAAGGCCCACAATGCAGACAAGGTGAGAAGGCCAAGTTCAGGGTTGGTGGGAACAAACACACAAGGACAAATCTCCAAAATTATTACCCAGATGCAGGTCCATTAGTCAACAGAGCATCCTTTCAGTTTGAACTTGTAACCAATGCTAGGACTTCAACTCCTGCGGCTGGGTGAACACGGTCCACACTCCTCTCTCTGGGAGAGGCACCTGGGCTCTGTGGGCAGTGAAACTGGTTCATTCTGCACCTCCAAGATCCAATAACTGAACCTCAGGGTCCAATCTACTCAACATCGATGTTTTCAAATTATTATGATGGAAAGAAAGTTGTATAATTTGCACTTTCTGGAAGGAAAATTCTTGCGGAGTATATATAATCCTGATGCCAAGTTAAATATATAGTCTTTTCTGCATTAACTCAGTTGTTCTGTTTGAGTGGGAAAACTACCAAGATCTTTGTGGGGGAAATGTGAGTCATAGCATGTTGGTCATTTAGAAGCTATTCAATGAAAAAAATACAGCCGAATTTATCCTGGCCTGACTTCCCCAATGTGAAGAAAGTTTGGCGCACACGGGAAGTCCTCTCACAGCACTTCTCCAGTTACAGACCTGGGGTGATGCTTCTCCTATTTCCACTGCACCCCTGAAGTTTTCACTGAACCCCAACTGTCGGTTTAATTTTGCTGCACCGAGCCTGGCGTGGATGAAGCTGCGTGACTTGGGGTTGTAGGATGAATGCATCTCCTTCTGACCCTGGGACCACTCCATCACCACAGTCTACTTACGCGGAAACAGTGAAAGGGGTTGGGATTCACAGAGCCCCTAGAAGGAGGTGCGCATACGAAAGTGATGGTCATGGGACCACCAGTGGGCTGGTGTTATAAGGTCTGCTTCACAGCCACTCAGTCATTTAATCCTCATCTTGACCACATGAAGAAGGGACGCTATTCTCTACTCCACAGATGAGCAAGTGGGGAGGCATAGAGAAGTTAAGCAACCCCCTCCAGGACACACTGGAGCCCTTCCCTCCACCCCTCAACCTCCTCTCTTCTCCCGCCTCCTCACCCTCAGTGTCCAGCACAGAGTCTTGCACTCTCTAGACACGAGATCGTGTTTCAGGATGTGAACTGGCCCAGCGAGGTCGGCCTGGGGAAGACACACTTCCTCTTCTCTCCACTGGCTCTGTGACGGTGGATGCCAGAGTCGCAGTACCACGGGGGAAGAGGGCGGAGGGGAATGAGTTCATGGTGAAGCCCCGCCCAGCCACGGAGGCTCCAATTCCATCCATTTCCAAGACCCAACGTCTCCAAGGACAGAAAGCAACCACCCCAGGCTGCCTGGAGGGAAGTGTGCTTCTTGACTGGTCAGGTTTCCCATGTCTATATTTACCAACTACTTTTGGAAATTGTTGTTGTCTGTCTGGAGGGTGACAAAGAGAGAAAGATGGGAATGTCTTTGGGGACTCCTGATGACTAACTTTTAGCAGCTTTCCTAGAAGCACGCCCCTAAGGCTTCATAAAAGAAATCAAAGCCACATGGTATCTAGACTCCTACATTCATTCGAGCCTGGACAGCTCCGGCTTCATGACATGTTCACTGGGGACCCAATGGAAGGCAGGCTGTAAGAGTCCTTCTGAGTTTCTCCGAGAAGACGCCAGGGAGGTAGGGGTCACTCCCTAACACAAAAGCCCTTGAGATGTCCTCCCGTGGGTACTCGCCAGGAACGTTCAGTCCCAACTAATCAACACGCCTCACCCCTTCAGTTCAAGGATGGGACATGGGACCCATCTGTTTCATTTTTTAAGTGATGGGGAAGAGAAAGTGTTTCTTTCCCATGGCCATGATGCTGAGAGGATGGGTGGGGAGTCAGGTGGGACAGCTGGTGACACACGGAGAGCCTGAGGGTCTAGTCCTGGGGGTATTCCTCGCAGCACCCAGAGTCACCCTTGTTTCTGAACATCACCCATGTACACCAACGAACTCTCCTTTGTTTTGCTGGTTGGAGTGTGGTTCCAGCCGCATGATATCAAGGAAGACCTATCCAATAGAATCGCTTCCCAGGCTTGCTGTAGGCCCCTTAAAGGTCCCAACTCAGCGCTAAATACAAATTATTAAGGGACTTGGTTATAAATAAATAATAGTCTTCACTTAGTCGGTCCTTCCAAGCCAACTCAATACCCAAAGGATAAAGTTCCCACGGCTTGAGCAATCCTACTGCTTGTTATCAAAGATTTGTCAAGCACGGCGACTGTTATAGTGGGTCTCAGCAAGAGTGGACGATCCATCCAGAATGCTGAAAAGCAGACAGTGGCTTGAGAAAACGCTCCCAGGCATGCCTCTCTTAGGAGACTTTAGACACATCTTTTACGACACACAAATATCTCCCTGAGAAAAAGACCGCGTAGCAGGGACCAAGCTCACAGAACAGATGCTAGGAGTGTCTGCAAAGCGTTCCCGTGAAGCAAGCGATCTCAGATAGAAAACTGCATTCATGCATTTGAAATAGATTTTGACCTGCAGACATTCGGCTCACACGTAACTTTTGAGGAACACATCTGTTGTGGGAAGTGCAAAGCACCTGCAATGGGGAAAAAAATCAGACAAAAGCAAGGACCCCTCCCAGACAGTTTGTCATCGTTCATTTTTGTGTCTAGTTACCATCTCTTGGGGCTCTACTGAGTGTCAGGCAAGGCGGTAGCAACCGCAGAGACAGAGGAACATGAGAAAGATGAGGTCTCTGCTAGAGGCATTCTGTTGAGTGTCTTGGGGTCACACGTTTTTTCTCTTTTTTTTTGAAAATCCTAAATTCATGACATGCCGTAAAGTGGATGGAGTGTAATGAAGACATTCATGAGAAAGGTTGGTCAGGAAAGGCTGGCTGCAGAGGCCACGTTCAAGAAAAGATCTGCATGAAGTAGGAGAGCCACTCAAGGGGTATCAAAGAGAAGTGTGCTCCAGGCAGGCAGGAGGCAAGAGCAAAGGCCCTGAGGCTGGCGTGTGCTGGGCATGTTTGAGGAATGGCAAGGATGCAGTGAGCTCAGAGGGAAACTGGGCCAGAAACCGCATGGCCTTTGGCCTTGATAAAGACTTTGGATTTTATTCTGAGCGACGTAGGAAGTCACTGGAAGTTCCTTAACAGAGAGGCTATCTGCTTTGCATGTTTATAAGAGCACTCATATTTTTTTTAATGTAAAAATGGACGTAATATAAGAATAAATGTATCACCATCTCATGTGGGGCCATGGTGTGGTGTGAATGAAACAGGGTCAAGTCTTCTCAGTGTCTACTCCTCCATGTCATTTTGGTTTTTGAAAACCTGAAATGTTAGTTCCTGAAGGAAACCATAAATAAGAGACTGTCCTTCTGGCTGCTGGGGGGTGGGGGGAGGGAGTCGCCTGTGGGGCCCAGGGCAGAAGTAGGGAGTGATCTGGGAAGGCGCCACAAAGTGGCCAGATTCAGGATTTCTTTTGAAGAGTAGACCCACCAGCATTTGCTGATGGATTCAGGGTGGGTCTTGGACGAAAGAAGGAAGTCAAGGATGGCTCTAAGACTGCCGTATTTCTTTAAGATGCGCCCCCTCCCTCCCCATACTGGAGGGACATGCAGGATGTAGATGACATCCTTTGAATCTTAAAAACGAGGGGAGACAAGAGGTTATGAAAGATGCCAGATATATTTCTTGAGTTTTCTTTTCTCCTGGAGGGAAATTATTAATCACGTTCTCACTCCCATTTTTTTAGATAAATTAGACAAATTAATTAAAATGCCCAAACCCAATTTGCTGATTCACTCAGAAACCCCATTAAAAAGAGAAGCATCCTTCTTCACAAATATATGTACATTCTCATGATGTTTATATAAAAATGAAATTTGAGACGCATTAAGACTTTAGTCAGATGTTTTGTATTATAGTGATTCAGCTTTAGCTTTACAACTTGCACTTTTTGAAAATGCTGCCTGTTTATATACTTCAACTGAAAGTGAATTAGGAACAAAGAAAAAATTGTAAGCAGACTTCAATACCTGTTTTTACCAAAAATGCACATATATATACATACACACACACAGAAGTATTTATACATACACTAGAAACACGTATACACATGCATGTGCCTATAAGCATGCATGTTTTGTATGTGTTCAAGCACACATGCAATTTTATGCTTAAGGACACATACACAAGTGTGCACACAGCAGACACACACGCCACACACTGGGCGTGCATATGAACTTTCAGTAATGAGATGACAGAGATTGGGGTGTCTCATGTGCCCCACAGGTTGTGTGCTGTGTAATTAGACTCTAGTGTGTTACCAGCCTGCACCCCACCTGCCCCGAATTGTGTGATATGCAACTGATCTGCTCAGGAATAGCGCTCTCGGAAACAGACACAGAATATGCGAGTTCAGTTTCCAGCCTACTAAGTTTTCTCCTTGCCTTGTTTCTCTCTGTCTCCGACGCACCCTGCATATTAACGACAGATTAATTTTCTTTTAACAATGGTCCCTATTAGATAAAGCAAAGGTCCCCTTGATCAAAGAAAGACGGCTGCAGGAAAGGCAACTTGAAATGAATCTTCTTAAACTGGGGTCCAGCATTTCAAAATCAACAATGAGAAAGATTTTTTTTAGGTTTAAGACTTGATTTAGGAAGCTAAAATGATCAAGTCTGCTTCTTACCACTTTAACAAGATTTAAGAGGACCTAATCACAAGTACGGACTGATTCTTAGGAAGAACAAAGAATGCAAGCCAAGCCATTCTCTAATTCACAATTTATACAGAGATTGAAAATGTTAACTCGTTAAATGTCAGCCTTTAAAATGCAACACGACACGTCACACTCCGCCACTTCTTCATCGGTAAGAACCAGGGACTCTGCGAAAGCGGGAAGTGGTCCTAGTTCCCATCATTCTCTGAGAAGCTCAGAGAAAAAGGTGTAAGGTTGAACTTCATATATTTATTTTACTAGAAACGAATATAAAAATATCTAAACAACCACAGGACGATGATTTGAAGTGTCACCATTAATAGACACCAATTTGTTAAAACACACAAGTCGGTTTCTGGATTTTTAAGTGGCAATGACCTAATGTGCTCAGAGGAAGTCTTTCTTAGCAACCCAACCTGACACAGCATCCTCTGCCCCAGGCCATTACCCC